TTGCTCGAGTTGTCTTGTTAATGAACACACTCACACACATTAGGAAATTGACTGAATGGTTTTTGGCCCTGAGGACCTTAAAACTAACAAGCAAATCGGTCCCAGGTAAACCCTTTCCGTGATGCCTAAGGTAATAGCTTCTTCCCCATAACAGAGAAATTCGCTAAAACGAGTTTATAAAATTATAAATCTTTGCCATATTAATTATTTAACGCATACATACATGGTAATATATACGTATGTTTCTCGCAAAGTTAATATTGCAGGCATTAGCTATAAATTGCCTGAAACGTTTAGGCAAAGTATATCAATTTTTAACACTGATGGACCTTGTGTATAATGCTTAGGCATTATATAGAATACCCACCAGTGTGCCAGGCAAAGTACTGTTTAATGTATTTGTTCTAAAAAACATTTTACTATACCGGTACAGTATATACGCTGTACAATACAGGTATATTTTGTGAATGGTAGGGCAACCTTATATATTAGATTTTTTAACTACGAACAAGGAAAGAAAAGACTTTAAAAAATCCTCCACAATTTCTAGACAATGTGATTGAGTTAGATTGAGTAGATTGAGTTTTATTTTATACTTTGCCTACTTATACTTTGGATAATTTAAGACGATGTGTAAATTCCTAGTCTTTAATATAATGCCTGATTATACAATTTCCCTGTAACATTAATATGTAACACAGTTTTTATCGTGCAGGCGTTTTGTGCCTCAGTACAAATTCATCTTGATCGCTCTCTTCCTGGAAAGAAAGTTTACGAGGCAAACAGAACTTTTCACTAACCAACTTCAAGTCTTCTTCCAGTTTTGTTTTTAATCTTAAGATACTTGTAATATTTTACTTCCTGTGACTTTGACGATTAAATAGTTTACAAGCTAAACTAAATCCAATATTTTAAAATTCAATGGATGAATAATATTAAGGATTGATGTAAAATAATAAATTTAAAAGCCTCTTTGATATATCAAGATTAGGATTTCACAACTGTACGATGACTGGACAAAGGTATAAACATGGAAACGGAGCTGATTAGTACACCAGTGAGTACATGACACATTCAAGTGGTGTCTAGCGCTGATCGATGGTGTATAGTCCAACACCACCCCTCTCGCCACCACGGTGGAGGCCCTGAGCGATAGAAGTTTTCGCCGCTCAGGCGCTTCTATTTTAGTTCTATTATGTTATGCTGGAAATATACTTTGCTCGTCACAAGTATATTCCCCACATAATACACTAGAGCTGGAAACACACAACCGTTCCATAAGCAAGTTTCCTCTATGTGCAATCTCTAAACTAACTACTACCGCTAAGGCAGGCTTTAGTACGAACACAATAATCGCAAAGGTCACTTATCATACAGCTGATGTTTACTTACACTGATAGGTTTTATTTACATACCAGTGATGTTTGCATGGATTCAATCTATATCACTCAAATTTGCAAAGCCCCTATGGTGGTAGTCAACCTACGTATGTATACCGTATTTGTGATCTCTGCAAACGTCACAACTGCTGGTATCAGTTTGTCGTGGCAAATAGCTGTGGATGAATACGTAATTTATTTCGTTAAAAGTAGGATAACTTATACGTTGGTTATAGTTCTATGAATTGAAATGGGAAATATAAAAATTAAAATAATGTCATGCAATGTAAAATGTTTACAACAGAACTCAAAACAACTTTTTACCTTTGATATCCTAATTCTAGTTTATTACCAACCTGAATCCAAATATACCATTATTTTCACCGCTGATGAATATTTCTCATGATTTTGCCGTAAAAATATACAACATTGTAAATCTCAACATTGTTATCTTTGTAAATTGGTGTATTGCCGTTGGTAAATAAATAAATAAATTAATAAACATTAGAATAAACAACGTAGGAAGGATGATATTTAAAAGTGGAATTAACTGCGGGTAAAGTAAGCTTACAGATGATTGTTTTCTACCACACGACAAGCGACTGGAAGATCTATCTAACTCTGATTCTGATCGGTATTCATCAATAGGCCTAATGACGACACTTTACTTCAATTATCAATATTATTGAAGATGGGGATGCCACTATATGTATTCACTAAAACTGCTACTACAACTAGTAGAATACCAACATCAATACTGTGCTGCTGCTGCTAGTCTGTCTGTTATGCAAAGTTCAGGATAAGTGAAGAGAGTAACATAGATGATGAGAAGAATAACATAATTGATTACAAAATATTATCATTGACTAGAGAAGTGTTTCAAATGATTCTGTAAATCTGTATCCAAAAATGTTTTCTATAAAAGGGAAATTGTCACATTATAGAGTTATTGATGGGCTGTCAGACTTGTAGTTCTTATTTAGGCATGGCAGAGTGGTCGGTCAAGCTTTATGCGAATTCGTGACTGCATTAAGTGTTTTGTAGTTAGGTTAGACGAGGAAGGTAAAGATTCGGTTATAATGAATCGAGTTGTTAGTTTTTGTTACATACAGACTGTTTTTTACAATTAAAAGCCTGAGAAAAACACTGTAAAGTACTATTAAAAAAATGCTTGCAACCTTTTGATGTTGAGGCATTTTATGCGACTAAAGGTTTATGGAGATGTAGGTAGGAATAAATTCGTCGTAAAGCCACAAGTTTGATCACGTTTAATTCATAGATCATTTTAAATTAATTGTATGACAAGACTGGTCAAACCATGTTATTATTTCCGCATCTTATTACATCTGACAATGAATACAACGATATCCTTGTTTCCTAAAAGACCTACAAAAGATAGATAATAATAGTAAACGTTTTGTTTGGAATTAAGAATTCTTTAAATACTATTGCCATTGTATAAATAATTTTTAGTTAATACTTTTTGGACGCCCCATCATTATCTTATTGCATGTTTGTTTAGTCCTGGAAATTCTACCAAAATCTTTATTCTAATCTTATCACTAGAAACTACTACTACCTACATTTAATCGAGTTACCATTTACATTAATAATAATTACTGTTACAATATTTAAGTAGTGATAAGTTTATTTGATAATCAATAGTCAATTTTTGACAGGCGACATTTAAATATGATTTTGATATTTTTATTTTCTATCGAGATCACAATATACTATTATATTTATTAGAATGACTCTCAAACCCTTTTCCGCTTATAAATTCATGAAATAATACCATCATTTTCAAACATAAACCTACAGTATTCGAATTAAGCGTGATAATCATATTAATATTCTAAACTAGTGTTCCGAGGTAGGAAGTTTCAACAGTCTGGTGCTCTGCTCAGCTTAGCTTACTCCGCAACATGCCGCAGTCTTGGCTATAACTGTAACTTAATTCAGTTAGTAATTCTCTTACTCTGTGTCTGTGTTCTTGCAAAACGTGACTTTCATGTATTAACAGAAGCAATTCGTCTTCAAGCTTACTTCCGGCTAAATTAACCACTAACTTGTAACATCATTCAACTCTCCTTTATGCAACGTAAGGCGCGCAGTACATGAAGTGGTTGCCAACTACTGTAGATAACTTTCAGGCATGTTAAGTAAAACTAATTTTAGAACTCACACAACGGGTTTTTATGGTTTCTTGCTATGTTTCACAATGGAACACGAAGTAAAACATTAGTATTGTTACAACTCAATATGGGTTATCGTAAAACCCTTCTCTAGTGACACCCAGTATTGTACTAAATGTCTGTTGATTTGTTTCAGTGACACCCAGTATTGTATTGAAAGTCAGTTGATTTATTTCGGTGACATCCAGTATTGTATTGAATGTCTGTTGATTTGTTTCAGTGACACCCAGTATTGTAAATGTCTGTTGATTTATTTCGGTGACACCCAGTATTGTATTGAATATCTGTTGATTTGTTTCAGTGACACCCAGTATTGTATTGAATGTCTGTTGATTTATTTCAGTGACACCTAGTATTGTATTGAAAGTCAGTTGATTTGTTTCAGTGACACCCAGTATTGTATTGAATGTCTGTTGATTTGTTTCAGAGACACTTAGTATTGTAAATGTCTGTTGATTTATTTCGGTGACACCCAGTATTGTATTGAAAGTCAGTTGATTTGTTTCAGAGACACCCAGTATTGTATTGAATGTCTTTTGATTTGTTTCAGAGACACCCAGTATTGTAAATGTCCGTTGATTTATTTCGGTGACACCCAGTATTGTATTGAAAGTCTGTTGATTTGTTTCAGTGACACCCAGTATTGTATTGAATGTCTTTTGATTTGTTTCAGAGACACCCAGTATTGTAAATGTCCGTTGATTTATTTCGGTGACACCCAGTATTGTATTGAAAGTCAGTTGATTTGTTTCAGTGACACCCAGTATTGTATTGAAAGTCAGTTGATTTGTTTCAGTGACACCCAGTATTGTATTAAATGTCTGTTGATTTGTTTCAGTGACACCCAGTATTGTATTGAAAGTCAGTTGATTTGTTTCAGTGACAACCGGTATTGTATTGAATGTATGTTGATTTGTTTCAGTGACACCCAGTATTGTATTGAATGTCAGTTGATTTGTTTCAGTGACACCCAGTATTGTATTGAATGTCTGTTGATTTGTTTCAGTGACACCCAGTATTGTATTGAATGTCTGTTGATTTGTTTCAGTGACACCCAGTATTGTATTGAATGTCTGTTGATTTGTTTCAGTGACACCCAGTATTGTATTGAATGTCTGTTGATTTGTTTCAGTGACACCCAGTATTGTATTGAATGTCAGTTGATTTGTTTCAGTGACACCCAGTATTGTATTGAATGTCTGTTGATTTGTTTCAGTGACACCCAGTATTGTATTGAATGTCAGTTGATTTGTTTCAGTGACACCCAGTATTGTATTGAATGTCTGTTGATTTGTTTCAGTGACACCCAGTATTGTATTGAATGTCTGTTGATTTGTTTCAGTGACACCCAGTATTGTATTGAAAGTCAGTTGATTTGTTTCAGTGACACCCAGTATTATATTAAATGTCCGTTGATTTGTTTCAGTGACACCCAGCTCCGGCATCAAGTGCTACCAGTGCGGCCAGTACACGGACGGCGTAGGCTCCATAACTCCTTGTATCAACTACACAGAGCGGCTTCATCTCAAAGACTGTCCGCTCTCTACCTCCCATCAGTGCATTGTCAGTAGTTTAATGAGCTGTCGTGTTTTATAGTATTAAGATTGTGGTGATGATTAAGCTACTGTATCGGATAATTTGTCAATACATACCCAACATAGCCAATCAGACTTCCTTTATGTGAAGTCGATAAAGTTAGCAGTCGCACAGCTACTTATAGGCCTATATACGACTGTGATTATTGTAATGCACTTTGTGTCGAAACATAGGTTCCAGAATTAATTAAAACTTTCTTAATAATTTATATTAACTAGAGGTCATCCAGTGGACAAAAACTTGGCCAAAAAATATGTAGTGTAAACAGACATCTCTATTTTAACCCCACGCAGTAAATAAAACATATGATTGGAATTTCTTCTATTGGTTTTGATTTTCTGTTTATATCTTGTTGTTATTTTGTCACCAGCATGGCAACCCATAAGGCCCATGTTAAATATTTTAAATAAAAATATCTGTTGTGCTTATTTTTTATTCTATTTTAATTTATAAAGGGATTCTGAGGATCTACAGGAAAATATCTTTCAAATGGTATGCGTAGATTTTCCCTGCAATGCACACGAGCTGAGAAAAAAAGTTTAATAGAAACATGTTTGCATCTCCTTTACCTTCTTATGATGATATGATTCATTGTTGTGAGCTGTGACATCAGCATAATATTAAGACATACATCAAACGATTATATTCCGAAGTTCCACATTCTTGAGGAAATTTTGACTGCTGAAATAAACAATAACATATTTTCATTATTTCCTAAGTTGATTACCTAACGCACGCCAATGGATGGTTACAGCTATATAAAAAACTATGCACAAAGTTTTTCTCAATAATCTTGTTAACTTTGTCAATATTAAAACGTATCCTGATTTTTTTCGAAGCTACTATATCACTAACGTAGCATGGTATTACACATGTATTTTACTGTTATGATCTAATTGCCATGCATTTAATTTTGTATTATTTATTGCGCAGAAATACGTCAGCGAAGGCAGCATGGTACGGGATTGCGCGCCAGCTGAATGTGTTGAAAGAGGTAAGTAAACGTTTATGGCTTTTTTATCATATTTAAATACGGACTCTAAAAATAGAGCCAAATATAAGTTTAAGCCAAAACCATAATATCCAGAGATTTTACTCTCTGCTGATTTGTTTTTTTAATAATGTTAACCTCTTCAAAAATCACTTTAGACATTTGAGTAGAATGAATCTCAGAGAATAGAAAAGCATAAAAGTAAAAGTGTATTGAGACTTAAAACTAAAAAGTTAAGGAGTTATGGTCCTCTTTTCACATTTATTCTAGACTGTATGTCTTAATACCTTTATACGCAGAATATGCATTTTTAATTTTAGTGAAAATATTTTTTTAAAATTATAGTTTAATTTAAACTGTTTAAATTGTCGGCAAAGACTTTTATTTAATTTGAGTTTTGAGCTATTCAGAATTTAATTTTTTTTATTATTTAGTTCAGTGCAAGTATAAAAAAATGAAAAATAATAGATTAATCTTATTTTTATAATTTCACATGCACTGGCAAATTTTTTGAAATGATAACTTTTTACCAGGCGAAGGATGGGGAACAAAAATCTACTGCTGTTCCGAGGACGGGTGCAACTCCGCCGTCGCCTTGCATGGTGGTTTGGTGAGTTGTGTTGTGGCAACAGTGGTGACTGCCATCCTGAACATGGTTACCAACTGAACAAACATAAACTGACAACTAGTGTTACCAACTACTAGTACCAAACGCTTTATCTTCATCATCTCGTTAAGTAGCCTATATGCGATTATTGGTTTGAATGTTAAATCTTAGACGTGATCGAATTAAAAACAAACAAATAAACGATAGATAAAATAGTTTTTAATAAGAAATCATAACGCAGTGCTATAGAATAGGAAATAAATGTAAATTTAAATAATAGCTTAAACAATCATTGAAATAAGTAGGCTAAGGAACTCTTTATGCATGTTAGATTATAAGACGTTTTGTTACTACGAACGATTTCTTGGACAAACATTCATGAGTGACTTAGTGCTTAGTGCTTCGTGAGGTTGAGAATTACTTAATACTCTCACAAAAAACATGTGAAGGTTGTATCCTTTCGTGCTCTTAGGGGTAATATTTGCAAATATGCTAAATATTTTTATATGACCAAAGGACTATTCATATCAACTTGCCCTCACGTTATTTTTGACTTTTCTTCATGTTTGGTTTGTTAAGATTTCGCTACCTACTGGTTTGTTATATCTGTATTTTTCAACACTAATTACGTTTACATAATCATGTTCATTCATTAATATTCAGGTTTTATCCGTGTTAAGTAATTTTCATCAGTAAATGCCAATTTAAAACATAGCTTATTTACTGAATGGGTTACAAAATGGTAAAGCGTAGGCAAAACATTGTAAACAATACCATTTTAATAAAAAATAGTTTCATTCCCATTCCAAATTATCCTCTTTTAGGAATCTACTATAAAATTTATAGTAAGACAGCTATACCCTCTTTAATACATCAGTATTGTTATTCATTCACTGTAACTAAATGAAAATGTAATCTATTAACCTTTATTTGATGGAAAATGTTTCATCAAGTTAAATATGTTAAATTGAGCAGGAATTTTACTAAATGACGGAATTGTTCAGCCCTTTATTTATAATTTCAGCTAGTTTAAAATACTGTTGTGATTGTGGTACACCTGCTAGCATTGCTAGTAACATTTATTTCATGATGTTTGTAAATATAATTCAGGTAGCTTTTTGCTATTGCTTTTACAGATTTAGTACAAGGCCATTTTGAGTACTCCACTATAGTAATTTTATGAATCACTATGCCAAGGTTGGAGTTTCTAATTTGTTTTCAATTGAATTATAAAATAGCTTTAATTATGCGAACTCTTGAGAGTACTTAATGCAGAGTAAGTCGAAGTAAAAATCAATTTTCGGTGAAACGGGTTGCCTCAATGAGGTATTATTATGTTAACGTAATTTACTTTACAAGTGTTTATAGCTGATATTTTAATTATAGACTTCTTGATTCAGTGTTAATAGCTGAAATATTTGTCTATAATCTTTACTTGTATTTTAAGCATGGATCTGATTCGACATTATGGAATCCATTGTAGTTGTTTGTCTTTAATGATTGATTAATTATTATTTTCCCTGTTATTGGTCTGATTACATGAAGATTCGCCTTTTACACAAGAGCAAAAATGCTGCAGTGATGGTTATCTATAAGTCCTTAAAAGAGTGTTATAAATAACTACGTTAAGACAAAATTCTCGTGTATTCTACATTGGACATATTTTATTACATTATTTCCTTTAACTATTTTGAATACGCAATAAATCAAGTACCTCGTACTAAGATTTATTTATTACAGAGTACGGTAATTTGAAGCTTCCTTAGAAACTCCAGCTGTTATGGTTTACTTAGTACACGTTCAAACCAATAATCCCATGGCTGAAGTGTTGAGGTTCCCTTGTGGTACAGGTTGTTTTGGCCCTGTCTATCTCAGTTTAACGCCAATTTAGCAGATTCAAAATATGTAAATAAAACAATACTGTTATGTTCGGTTGCCATGAACAAATATCAGGTGCAGGCGGTGTCTTCCATTTGGAACTTAACAACAAAGTCGATTTATTTATTTGGTTCTTAATTAAAGAGTAATGTAGATACTATTGAATACAGTCAAATGTAAGCTTAACTTAGTTCAAATCGCTTTGAAATGCCACAGGTTTCGATTATGCTTTTATTCATCGTAATTAAATTGTAAATAACATCATATTAATATTCGTTATTATCTTCACCCCAAGAAGACCTATTTTTCTATGTATTAATTTATAATTTTATAAAGATTAGCACGACGACTGATTTGTTTTCGGTTGATGAGAGCTGTGTTAGGTATATTTTATTGTACTATTCCTCTGTATCCACTGATTAATTGATCATATCTCGGTTGTTTGTCAAAAGTATACTTAGTTTACAAAATTACTTAATTTAAATTAAGTACTTACTTTATTAAAGAAATTTTTCTGTTTCTATTTTCCTTTTTTTCATTATATAATTTAACAATTTTATAACCCTTTTTTGGTGAATAAACTAGTATTTTACGTACCAACGTTCGATGCAAGCTGTCAATCTTGACAGAAACTACACCATATTCTAAAGTAAACTTAGATTTAAGCCTATATAAGTATTAATGTTTTATGTATTCTAGTTTATATACTAATATATATTGCTATATCAATAGGAAACTATAGTTTCTTGTTCCACTGCAAATATTATTGTTTCTATATTTCACTTCGAGGAATAAATAAGATCTTTTAACATGTACAAAACGACGTGTTTTCTTTGGACCTAAAAACCGGAATATGAAGATTTTATTTGATACGTAAAGCCAATCATAAGCTATTTCGATATGGAATTATTGAAAATAAAACGAGTTTATACTCATATGTATATACTTATAAGTTTATTCTTATATTTGATGTAGATTTAGTAAAATAATGATTGAATAATGTTATTAAAAAAAATAAACAAAAAGAAAAGAAAATGTAATTGCCGCACAACAAATGTTTACTCTAAAATGTAAATAATATTTCATGTACTTGAATATCTCATATTTGAAATAAGTTTCTTTATAAAAAGTAACTTAATGTGATAGATAGAAATCAAACATGGATGGAAATAGTAGTTTACGTAATGATCACGTAATAATAGTCTTTACGCCACGAGGAGAATATTTTAAGAGAGGTAGAAAATATAGTGTTGTAAAGGCTAATTACGCGAGTTGCGTACACTACTTTATCTACGACCGTTTTTTAATTACTAATAATCAATACTCATTACTTCTAAGAGAGGTTATGTTTTCGTTAATACCCTATCATTGCCACTGATTTGATGCAACGACTACGGCTAACCCAACCACTCACTCATTGTTTAATCAATTAAATAGGTCTTAACAGCTGATAAGTGGACGTTATAAGTATCACAATTTCACTTCTTTTCACTCGATTCTTGGACCAGTCCTTACTTGTACTGTAAAGTAACAAAACAATACTGCAAAGTAAGTAAACATTACTGTAAAGTGAATCTATTCAATTCTAAGAACTGGATTGAAAAAGCCGGTTAAAAAAACGGTCGTAGGTAAAGGTTATTCCGGCATTGAAATATTAGGTGTATGTTATTACTTCCATGCAATCTAAACACAACAAATATATACGTAATGTTACTTCCGAGGGTGGCTACGTAACAAATTTACATTAATACGCATAGTAAAAACTATAATAGAATTTTAATTATAAAATTATAATTATATAGACAGATTTTAGCTACTCTAGTGATCATTATGATTTGCCAAATTTGAGACAAATGTTGGATTAATAATAAAGTGAACTGCCTAAGAATACTAACCGGATAAAACTAGAAACTGTCATTATTAACTGGAATTATTTATTGAATCATCAGTGTCTGCTAATTACAAGTTATCATACGACTCAGTTTGGCATATGACACAGTTTAGAGATACAGTAGTCTTCAAGAAGAGGCTAAACTGTGATCAGTAGTCATGTCTGCGTAGCGGCAACGCCTGGTCCAATAAACTGTTATTATCATTGCCTGTAGACAGGAAACCCTCTTTCCTTGAATTATGAAACCCTAGAATGTATATATATATGATGGAGAAAATAAGTAGACATTTTTGCATAATTAATTGTATATACTGCTACGTAAAGGGTTGGTCGCATAGAAACGCCTTGGATAGGTTGTGTAGTGATGAGGCCAAATTTGTGGTCAACAATTAAGGATACTAGCCATGATATGACGTATCAAAACTAATCTTAAAGTGCATAGATTTGCTGACAATTATTGCTATGAACAAATTCTGTAAGGGCTCTGCTCCACAGGCCGGTTTCCTTTGGGCTTCACCTTTCAGGCTTCCAACGCTTTTTGATTCATGAAATTAAACAACAGGTCGATGCGATTAACAGCTGTATGTTTATTTACTTGAAGGGTATCTGACCGTGTTTAATTTACATTGTGGACTTTGTGAGTTATTTAGTAAGAAGATAATGTCATAGATTAAACAAACTCCCATGTTTATTGAGTCTATATACTTATAGATAAAGAGAGGTAGTAAATATTTGGTAGAATTTCGCTTATGGTTTTCTTTGTGATTTATATAATAAGCTGTAGTAAAGAGGCTTGATTAGAGCTAAATCATGAGAGTACAACATATTTTTACGAAACATCAATATCAGGTAATTTCTTTTTCTACAACACTACAGTGATTTATTTAGTATTAATTTACTTCAAATATAAGAGTTTTGAAAGTGAGTACCCCTTTTTATTACGTCTATATTTTCAAAGGAAATCATAGAGTTACAGTAATTTAAATGCAAACCCTGTACTTAATTAATAAATCCACCCCCTTGTCTAAATTAAAGAAAATAAATTAACCAAATTATTGGTGGAATTATTTTTTTTCTAAAATGAATAATATAGTTTATGTGCAACATTTCATACAGGAGATATAAAAACAGCATTATTCTGTTTCGCGTCCTTTACCAATTGTGAAGCACGGGTAGGCCTCTAGCTTCTCGTAACATACAGTCTATACCCTTGTCCGAGGCACCTAGACTGATACTCTCGTTATAGAAACTTTGCACTTGATGCATTATTTATAAAAATATCAGTACCATAACAAATGAAAAATGTAAATTCTAAAATAGAACTAGAATAGAATAAACATGATTTAGGGTTTCATATGAAGATAATGCTGCTGGTTAAAAGTTTGTATCTACCATTTGCAAAATAAATTTTCATACTCAGTAAGCAATTATTGATGATATTTTAAAAGTGTAATAGATGGCATGAGGGCTTAGCAGTAAAGCAATGTTCTAAATGGTTAGATACATGGGGCATGTTAGAGCAAGTAGGAAGAGTGGATGATTTCTGTTGGGATTTGATACCAGAATATTATTTGTCAGACTACAATCATAGATTGTCTACTCCTTTATCCTTACTGTATCTATGCTACAATGTTCCCCAATTTTCATAGAGTGTTGTTTTAAATATAAAAGAATTGTTTTCTATGTGAGTGTAATTTACTTGAGTGTATTTAATGTAACACATGTAATAAATGAGATTTCAACTCTAACAAAACATTTCGCCCTTGGTGCGAAACATACCTATAGTCAACAGTTAACTCAACTCAATAATTAGTTATTGTAACTGACCTAAAATTGTGTACTTATTTAATTACCAGGGAATAAAATAACTCTTTTCGATATCCACTAACGCATCGTTTGCACAAGTATTAAGGGCTTAAAGAAAAATTCTGGCCTGTTTGAAAAACATTGTTTTATATATTAATTGTACAGTATCAAGACTTATGTAAAATCATAAGAGAATTTATGATTTTTTTATTTTCTGCGTACTGAACGTAAGAAGCTCCAGCAGAAATGGCGGTGGACCGCTTTAGAATTTCTATACGCTTTGTTGCAGTGATATGAAAGCTCGACAAGGCATATGGGTTCTGCAGCGGTCCGCAGCATTGCCAACGGCGAAAACTACTCACCGCTTCATGACAAGAAATCACGATATCGTCCCAGGTCACGAAAATATAATCTTCGGCAATCGTAGAAGTGCATCTACTCAACATCACATCTTGAAAATAAAAGGTGCTCCAAGCAAATCACAGTTCAGTGTCCTAGCAGTTTGAAAATATAGACAGTGACAATCGTAGAAGTACATCATATTATCATCAAATCTTCAAAATAAATTGTGCTTCAAGCAAATCACTGTTCAGTGTCCTAGCAGTTTGAAAATATAGACAGTGACAATCGTAGAAGTACATCATATTATCATCACATCTTGAAAATAAATTGTGCTTCAAGCAAATCACTGTTCAGTGTCCTAGCAGTTTGAAAATATAGACAGTGACAATCGTAGAAGTACATAATATTATCATCACATCTTGAAAATAAAATGTCCTTCAAGCAAATCACTGTTCAGTGTCCTAGCAGTTTGAAAATATAGACAGTGACAATCGTAGAAGTAAGCCTACATCATATTATCATCACATTTTGAAAATAAAATGTGCTTCAAGCAAATCATTGTTCAGTGTCCTAGCAGTTTGAAAAAATAGACAGTGACAATCGTTGAAGTACATCATATTATCATCACATCTTGAAAATATAATGTCCTTCAAGCAAATCACTGTTCAGTGTCCTAGCAGTTTATAAACACTTTTTCATAGCCAACACCGTTTTATTCAACATCGTATTGCAGATTTGACATTGCAGATCTTAGAGTGTCATATTGTTGCACGTTATACGATACCAGGAACACACAACTACCCCAGCACAATGCTGCAACAAAACATCAAAGCAGCATACGACTCCACTGTACTGTAGTATCGCCACCGGCACTTCTCTACTAACTTTGAAGCTTCATCCTTCTCTTGCAGCACTTGTGTGTAGGATAATATACCATTACAGGACATGACCATCAGTTAGCTATGATAATGTACGCTACAAAGTATCGATTTTGCACGGAAAGATAAGTCATTTGCATTTTATTTTGCTGAACACCTCCGTCTAGTGATACTTATTACATCACTAACAAAAAATATTTATGATATGACTTTACCTATTATATCTGTCAATATTGTCTAAACGTGTGTATACTTTAAATTGTAAGATCGAAGTTTATGAATACATGTAGGTTGTGATTTAAAATGTAATGAACTCTGACGCTTATCCTGTATGTACTGTAGGCTATTGTATGTCGCTACTTACAAACCTACAATTTTAAGAGATACTCATACACAATTATATACCATATTTACATGTATTCATATACGTATTTAAAGTTTAAATCGAAAATAATAAAAAATGTAAACTGTTGTATATTTTGTTAATGAGATGTGTAGTTTATCTTTATGTCGTAGTCCAGAACATTTACTCCTACGTAAAATTGAAATTGAAAATTTATGTTCAATTAAAAATGCATAGCTTTAAGTAACTCTAAGATATGATTGTTTAGAGGGACGTTACAATTTATCAATTTACTTATGGAGGAGGTTTAGTAGTTAATGAAAAAAATATAAGAACAATTTTAAAATAATTATAAAAAATGCACCAAACTTTAAGTTTAAATTTAAAAAAAATACTAATGTAAAATTTCTGTTAATTTTAAATATTGAGGTGATTGTATTTTTAGTTCAGTCATATTAAGTAAAACTACCCCTCTACCTGGTATAAATTTTTTAGATGGGAAAACTTTGCATGTGTGTAGTACTAGTACGCAGTTACAATATATTACA